TTTGAGGTTATGTATGCTCGTGCATCTCCCATGATTTAACGATGATCGACTTTAACATCAAAGGTTTTTAGAGATGGTCCGGAGAATGTTCATTATCATTTCTCTTTTTTTTTTTTTTTTTTTTGCAAAAGGCGAAACAAGGGATGACAAAGCAAATAGACGTGTACGGAAATACATGGTTGTTTATTATAATTACATGTATAATCATCATATGCGTCGGTGATCGGTGGGCCCTGAACAGTAGTAGCCCATCCCATCCTGTGTGTACATGTGTGTGTGTTTTCATGAAAGTACTTTCTGTATCTGCGACATGTATGTAAGTATCAAGTGTCTCGTACATTGAATTCATCTTTGAGTGTGTGCATACACTAAAGAGCAAACAATTCCATTCCACTGACTTCACGTCACAATTCACCATCAGATGATACATATATCATAAGAATCACTTACTCCCAAGTGCAGTCATGCCTTGAATCTGCAATAAAATTTTTAAGTACCGCGCAACAAAAAAAAAAATTATTTCTCAAATTCGCTTCGTTTCTACCCATTTGTGTTAATGGTAATAATGATAATAATAAGAATAGCAATGATGATAATAATAATAATACATCGGTTTTTTTATTTTAATTTTTCATCAAAACCCCATTTTTTTTTGTTTTCTTATATCGACTATCGTCCGCTTCGTCAACACGATAATATTCTCCTAATCCTATTAAAATTAAACTCCATTTCGCACATTCATGTACATCGATCGCCTTAACAATTGAGTTAGTGCTTTCTTTTTTTTTGTCCTATTTAATTTATCCGTAATAGTATACACCCTATAATTATTTATCGAATAAATGTATGTAGCTTTGCGCGCAGGCGATACGGTTTTGTTATATTTCCGATCACCGCTGCCTGCGCGTCTTTTGACTTTCATGTTATTCTGCGATTCGTTTCGTCCGTGGAAATCAATAAAGCTCTGAGTTTCTCCTCTTTTTTTCCGATGAGAGGATCACTTTTTCGGCGATTGTGGTATAGATATTTTTCTCTTTTTATTTACTTAAAAATTTTGGCTATGATCGTTCAAACAAATGAAGATCTGACATCGTTCTATACATTCATGAAAATTTGTGGGAAAAAAAAAAAAAAAAATCATGTGGGACACAGTCATGTCTAAATTGAAGTCAATAACAACGAGACTTTGAAAAAGTTTATAATAATATAGACATCATCGGCATTTGATTCATCTATATCACACGACATATTACTTTTGTGCGCGCACATCAATATTACAAGTATACGTAGTCTATTTATATTGTATAATAGTCAATAAAAATTGCCACTTTCTTTTTTTTTTTCATAAGCTTGTTACATTTTCTTCATCATAACCAGTTAACGGAATATACATAGCATACGCTACTAATATGCACATACCTTTTTTTCCCTAGGAGATGACTTTGACCAATACATCAATGTGTTATGTTTTTCATTGTTTCATAACACACGTAATAACTCATTGTGTCTACATTGAGTGATTTTGCGAAATTAAATTACTTATCAATTCTATTTTTTTTTCGTTCTTAAACTAATCAACAGTGGGGGAGAGGGTACAATATTACACTGGGTTGAAAATTTTTATGCACAATATTAATAATTACAATAAAATCAATAGTCATAATAATCAAAATTTAACTGAAAGGATTCGTCAGAGACAATAATAGCAATGAGAATGATTATAATCAATGTAATAATTAATATCGAGTTTTTAATAAAATAATAATAGTAATGATAATGATTATTATGATGATAGTGATGATGGTTTAATACTAATAATAATGACAGTGATCATCTTGATGATGATAATGATGATGATAATAATAATGATGATAACAACAATAATGAGAATAAAGATGACGAAAATGATTATGATAGTTTTGATATTGATGATAATGATAATAATAATGTTAATTATGATGTTAATTACATAATGATA